CCCCCCCCCCCCCCCCAAAGGGGGGGGGGGGGGGGGGGGGAGGTGTTATAAAAGCGCTGTTCTGTTGTTACTTTTGTTGTAGAGATCTTACAAGGAAAGAAGCCTGCATGACACTCAAATAACATAGTATTACATAGACATTGAATATTTATCTGAAAGCCAACTAAATTAACACAAGAAGCATTTCTTGAAAGAATGGAAACTTTCATGTAGCTGAAAAATATAGTAACTAGCAAAGTGGCAGTGATTCATGAAAAGCAGCACTGGTGGAATTTCTCCAACAAACACTGGGCCTAGAGTAAAGTTCTTACTTTTAGTTTTAAATTTATTAAACAGGTCTTGGGCTGAGGAAGAGGCAAAGAGAGCTAGGGAACAAGCCAAAGCACTTGAGGAGGCCAGAGACAGGTGGGAGAGCCGTGGTCTCAAAGTTGTCGTTGATGCAGATCTCGAAGAAGATGCTTCAACTGGAATCACATGGCTTTCTGCAGGACAACAGACCCCTGTTGATGAGACAGTAAACAGAGCAGAGAACTTAGTTGCGAAACTCAAGTCAATGGCTGCTGAAATTAAAATCAAATCGTCTGCTGCCATTGAGAGAGTAATTCAAGTGATTCTCTCTCTAATTTCTTCTCTGAAAAGCATGGCTTGCAAGGGATCTAGGCATGTTATGGAGCTCGAACATAGCATTGTTTCAAAAGCAAGTAAATCAATAGATGAGCTCAAGGAAAATGCTTCTGGATTCAGTTCAAGCATCAGTGACAAAGCAAGAAGAGCTGTTGAAGATTGCAAGGAAGGCGTCGAGAAATTCACTCAGAAATTCAAGGCCTAGAGATGTGATCTTTATCTTTATACAGTACTTTTGTGGGATTTTGATGAATTGTAACTGCCGAGAATTGCTGTTGTTCCCATATATTTCAGGAAGTTTATAGGAATAATAAAGTGAGAATCAGATTGGATCGGATATTCTAGAGTCTGGTTTCAGAATAAAAGCCCATGAGTTGTATACATTGTGCAATTTTTTAATCCTCTTCTCTGCGTGTGCAAGAAATGGAGTAATAATTGCGGGCAATTTTTATAAGAAAACCTTCGGATGTATAAATTGGTGGGAATTAAGTGATCTTGCTGGAACAATTCATGAAATTTGAAATGCTAGATTGTTTTATCTGTTGCAAAGAAATGACCATTTGATTTGCCAAAGTTGCGAATCTGCTGATGCGGTTGGATTACTATGTGTAAAACCTCAATACATAAGACCAGGATCATCCAAAACGCCCGTATACTAATTTTAGAAGTGATTAGCTACACGGAGATGGGTGGTCCGTTCAAATTGGTAGAAAGGGTTAATGAGGTATCAACCTTAAAACCAAGTTTTGAACTCATGGGATCAAAATTGTAAGGAGCAAGTTGACTAATTTTACAACATTTAGGTCAATCATTGGAGTCTTATATAAATACAAAACCTTCTAGAGAGTAGACTCACACTCATTTTATATACGCCATGCGATATAATTGGTTGATGATTGCAAACCTTTTGTCTATTTTCATATCAATTATTAGACTAGTCCTTCCCTCATCTGCCAATATTAATTTGCAATAGCTTTCGAGTTACTTCCTCCTCTCTGTTTCGACTCCCAAAATCTCTTTGATCTATGCAAGTTTTCTAGCTTTAATCAGCAATCTCTGTCCTCTTACTTCTTGTGTGCAAAATATTCTTTTGTCTCTTGCGTAGATGTTCTCTCCTCTCAAGCATGCTGCTAGTTATACTTCTCTGAGACCTGATCCCAGAGATCTATGATTCTTCGTTTTGACTTGGCTCTCCCACAGAGCATCCAACAAAATCCATCTTCAGTGATTTTATTACAGTTCAAATCTTCATCAGATACACCCTTTTTGGTGTAATCCTTTATATGATTTTTTTTCGCTGATCCAAAGTCAACCCATCAAATTTCAGTACCCTTTTCAATTCTTGAATCCTACCTCAACCTATTATTTCCTTCAACAATTCAAATCTCTGCTTTTGATATGTCAATCCTCTGTGGCATTCCAGTCCTTGAGAGTGTCTACTGCCTCATTTGCGCCCGCTGGGCTTACAAAAGATGCCTGCACTCCGCTGGGCACGAAAGTGAGTACTGGCCAGTCGCCTCCACCATCGAGTTCGACCCAGTTCCCCGTCTCTGTCGAGCCATACTCTCCATTAAAGAACCAATGGTCGACCATGGACTCAACCCCCAATGGGTAATTTCTCGAAAATCCTATAAAGACACAAAGGGACGTGCACCTCCTTACTTGATTTACCTTGATCATGACAATGCGGATGTTGTTCTCGCACTGAGAGGCCTGAATTTAGCTAGGGAGAGTGATTACGCCGTGTTGTTGGATAATAAGCTTGGGAGGAAGAAATTCAATGGTGGGTATGTTCATAATGGATTGTTGAAGGCCGCAGTTTCGGTTCTTGAATCTGAATCAGAGGTTCTAAGGAAATTGTTGGAGGAGAATCCAAAGTATATGCTAACATTTGCTGGGCATTCACTGGGTTCAGGAGTGGCAGCAATGTTGGCTATGGTGGTGGTTGAGAATATGGATAAGTTGGGGATTGAAGAGAGGAAGAGGGTAAGATGTTATGCAATTGCACCGGCCAGGTGTATGTCGCTGAATCTGGCGGTTAAATATGCTGATGTTATCAACTCTGTAGTGCTTCAGGTGAAAATTTTCACTCTTTCGTTTCTGTTTTTGCTCTACTGATAGATTGCTTGCTTGATGTGGGGATATGGGTGTTCGTTGTTTCTATCTTACTACGTGTTTTCAGTTCTGCACTAGGAACTATAGTAGAGAATTAGTGCAAATGAATGGAATTATTCTGTTAAAAGTTATTTGAGTTCTTAAAATTATGATAATGTCATAAAATTTTGATCTCTTTTCCTTGTACTTATGAAAATAATGATTATGAAATAATCCTTTGTATTTCTGATAATAGTTATTTTATGATGTAGGATGATTTCTTACCTCGAACATCTACTCCTTTAGAGGACATATTCAAGTCCATCTTCTGGTAAGAGTGAAACAACCTCCATTTCCTTCAAGTTTTGAAATGGGAGAACATACAAAACTACACCCTAAAACTCATCAATGCACCTGTAATATGTTGCATTTGTTCTCAAATGTCTTTTAGCTTAATGAATTGCTGCTCTCTTCTTTAGACAGGTTGAGATGATATTTTCTTTTTGATACAGTTTGCCATGTTTATTATGTCTGAGATGCATGAGAGACACATTCATACCCGAGGAACGTTTGCTGAGAGATCCAAGGCGGCTCTATGCACCAGGTCGACTCTATCACATTGTTGAGAGGAAACTTTTCAGGTATAACCTTCTTTTTGCACTTATCCCCTGTGTAATTGCTGTGCATATCAAACTGAAAATGCCATTTGTTATTACAAATTTTTGGACTTTAACTCAAAGGTTAATCTGATAAAATTAGCACTTGACCTATTCAGTGAACAAGCTTCCTCTTCTCTCATCTTCTCAAAAATCATGTTTACGGATCATTCCCGCAGCCTATTGTGCTCATCTTCATAGATTATTCTATGATTAATCAACTGACTCATGGAAAATGCAAGTCTAAAACTGCGACAAAATCAATTACTGAAGTTGTTAACTTAGGCTGTATTAAGCTTCTGGGCCTTCTGAAAGAATCCATTCCTGTGTTTGTTATCGGTTACAGATGTGGAAGATATCCTCCAGTTGTCAGAACAGCAGTTCCAGTAGATGGAAGACTTGAACACATTGTGCTCTCTTGTAACGCAACAAAAGACCATGAAATTGTATGGATAGAGAAAGAGGCTCAGAGGGCTTTAGATGTAAGTCATGTACATCACCGTAGTTATTCAAGTTTCATAGTAATGCATTGATTACTTACTTCATTATCTTTGAGAAGAAAAATGTAGCTCAAGTTGTTTACACCTCTTTCTCCCTTCACGTTAGGTGTTTTTACATTTCATAGCAATTCTAAAGTGGAGGAAACAAGGTCATTGGAGACGGGGAAAATAATACTAATAGAAGAAGAAGAAAATTAAGCTTTGTGGCCTCACCCCTTTAAAAAGTAGGATTTCACATCCCATATTGCATTAAATGATAAATATAAATCATATTTTTTTAATACACATTCATTGTTATTGAAAAGACTAGTCTTTATTTTATATATATATATATATATATATATATATATATATATACACACACTTAAAAGAAAAGAAAAAAACTTAACCACCTAAAATAATGATAAAAAACTCCAACCATACACAAAAATAAAACCTTTCCTAGTAATTCAGATTCTGAAAGATAACTGAATCAACTAAGCTTTATAAAAAAAAGGGTCTCTACAAACCAGAGACCCTTCCAATAACACTAAACAGCATTATCATCAATTAAAAGATGGGAAAACTTTTCCCCTGACTCCTCGAGCCAAAATCTCTCTCCCTCCAATTGTTTCCCAAATAACGTTAGATAGTGTGGCACCTAAACTTACTAACCTTATTAACTAATAATTTGTCTTTTATAGAGATTACAAGAAAATTTCTACTAAAATCAAAAATTTAAAATTAAAAGAAATTTCAGCCATTGTTTCCCCCCATTTTCACTACTTTTCAGTGAGAAATCAGTTCACCTACCTGGAGGGAAAAGAAGAAGAAGAAGAAGAAAAAAAAAGAAGAAAATATTGCTCAAGTTATTTCCAGCTGGTTTTCCATTTTACCTTCTTTTTACAAACAAATTAGCAGCTTTTCAAATGTAAGAAGTTGTTGTTTTTGCCACTGCAGCTAATGCACAAGGAAGAATACACAATGAACATCCCTCCAGTGCAAAAAATGGAGAGGCAAAAAACTTTAGCAAGAGACCACAGTGAACAGCACAGGGCTGCACTTCGTCGAGCAATCACATTAGCAGTGCCTGATGCATTCTCCTCATCAGAATACGGTACATTCCACGAAACATATTCATACAATGGAAGCTCCGAGAGCTCTCCAATGCTACTCAAAAACAGCAGAAAGAGTGCAAGCTCGAACTGGGATGAACTTCTTATACACTACTTTGACAAGGATGGCTCTGGAAAAGTAGTATTCCAACCATCAAGCTCTGGAAATGATTCGTGATATGAATTATCAGGTGCCTTGTAAATTTTTTGCTTGTTTCTATGTCCGCTATCAATTCGCTGTCATGTGCCATTCATTTACAAAAGGAATAACTGCACATGGACTCCCTTTAGTATCATTGTTTTGAACTTTCTAGTTATGTATTTTTATTTTT